ACTTCTGCCTCTCTGAACTCTGCCTTTCAAATAAATAAATCTTTTTAAAAAAATATTCTAGGGGTTGGCACAGTGGGTTAAAGCCCTGGCCTGAAGCACCGGCATCCCATATGGGTGCCAGTTCTAGTCCTTGCTGCTCCTCTTCTGATCCAGCTCTCTGCTATGGCCTGGGAAAGCAGTAGAAGATGGCCCAAGTCCTTGGGCCCCTGCACCCACATGAGAGATCCCATGAATGATATATACATTCATATATGTATATTCATATATATAGAATATATGAATTCATATATATAATATATATGAATATACATATATGAATGTATATATCATATACATGAATTTATATATAACATATATGAATATACATATATGAATGTATATATCATATATATCATTCATACATATAATACATTATATATGAATTCATATATATTCTATATATATGAATATACATATATGAATGATTTTATTTATTTATTTGACAGATAGAGTTACAGACAGTGAGAGAGAGAGACAGACAGAAAGGTCTTCCTTCTGTTGGTTCACTCTCCAAATGGCCGCAATGACCGGAGCTGCGCCAATCTGAAGCCAGGAGCCAGGTGCTTCTTCCTGGGCTCCCATGCAGGTGCAGGGGCCCAAGCACTTGGCCATTCTCCACTGCTATCCAAGGCCACAGCAGAGAACTGGACTGGAAGAGGAGCAACTAGGACTAGAACCGGCGCCCATATGGGATGCCAGCACTGCAAGCAGAGGATGAACCTAGTGCACCATGGCGCCAGCCCCTTAAATTCTATATATTTTAATTTTTTTGAAGACTTATTTATTTGAAAGGCAGAGCTATAGTGAGAGAGACAATGAGAGATCTTCCATCCACTGGTTCAATCCCCAAATGGCCACAACAGCAGGGGCTGGACCAGGCTGAAGCCAGGAGCCAAGATTTTCACCTGGGTTTCCCACGTGAGTGGCAGGGGTCCAAGTACTTGGGCCATCTTCCACTGCTTTCCCAGGCACATTAGCAGGGAGCTGGATTCAAAGTGGAGCCGCTAGAACTTGAACCACATGGGATGCCAGTGTCACAGGCAGCAGCTTAACCAGCTACACCACTACAATGGCCCTGATTTAGAAATTTGAGATCCTTTTTGATTTAACAATGAAAAAAATCTGATGAAATAATGAAATGAATGTTTGGATAACATTTACTTAGAAAATAATCTATTTTTAAGGATTTGATAGGAAAGTGTTATATTATTGTTACAATTCATATACTTTTTTAAAAAAGAATTATGCATTTATCTGAAAGACTGAATTACAGAGAGAAAAGAAGAAACAGAGATCTTCAATCTCTGGTTCACTCCTAAATTGGCCACAACACTAAAGCTGGGCTGGTCCAAAGTCAGGAGCCAGGAGTTTCTTTTGGGTCTCCCACGTGGGTGCAGGGGCCCAAGCACTTGGCCCATCTTTCACTGCTTTCCCAGGCACATTATCAGGGAGCTGGATAAGAAGTGGAGCAGCTGGGACTAGAACCGATATCCATATGGGATGCTGGCACTGCCCGTGGCAGCTTTACCTGGTACACCACAGTGCCGGCCCCTATTCATATATTCTGAAGGATAGTCAAAACAGTTTGCTATTCAATTACTACTCAAGTTTATAGGTTAGATAAAAGACTTCCAAACATTTAAACTCTTCTTGAGCTCCCCAAAAGTTACCCCAAAATACAGGACTTAATGTTGATGAGCAACAATCACAGTATGTTTATCATTCCAAAACCAAGTGCTTCAACTAGCTGATTCCTTTTTCACCAGTAATCTTGTGGGCTTATTAAAATCCAAATCTTACACATATACTGACAAGTTGTGAGGACTATGTGAAATGTCCAAAACACCTCCCTACTCCTGTTGCCAGGTCCCAAGCCTAGCCTTTAATGAATTCAATTCCTCCCTCAGCACTTCAAATCAAACCCAAGGTAAAACAGGAGCTTACATAAGAGAGGATTAAACAATGAAGATTTGTCTAAAAGTAATTAATCATCATATTGCCTCTCCACCCTCCATCCTCCCACGTTTTATCCAAGGCTGACTCTTGATTAGTACCATTCTCAGTACCTCCAATTATTTCCTGGATCTCTCCCAACCTGTTTTCTTTAAATATCATACTATGTCTCTACCACCGTTTCACCCGAATTCACCAACCACATAGTCAACACCTAGTGTATACATTCTTCCCAAATATTCATGACCTAACTCCCCATGTGGTCAGTCAGGCTTCTGTCCAGACCATTCAACAACTCACCACAATTTAGATCTAAAAATTTTCTCTCAATCCCCATCCTCCTTGACCTCTGAGCACTGGGAGACATCAGTGACCTGAGCAACTATAAAAAAGTTCTCTCTTCTGATTGGCCTCCGTTACGTTCCTCTATCCCAATTGTCTTCCCCCTCTTCAGTCTTTTTCTACCTTAAGACTTCTGCCTATGGTTCTTCTCCAGTCTCGGGCTTTGGTCTTTACTTCTTCCTCTATGCTGTAGCCAGGGTTTTGACTACTTTTTTAATACCAGCAAAGTGTTTCCACTTCCCATCAGGTGTCTCTATTTGCATTCATTCACCAAGCATTCATAAAGTGCCTGCTCTACGCTACTCAATGTGTTAAAGATGAGGATACAATGATCAACAAGGCCTATCAAAACCATCTCTGCCTTCAAGGATCAAAGGCAAGTAAACAAAAGTGTTTCAAAACATGATCAATATGGTAATTCCCACACTGTACAGATATGAGGAAGAACACATCAATAATGATAATATTATACCAATGGTTTCCTATATTGAGCATACAACACATTATTTGCACACATTATTTCAATTAATTGCTCATAACACCACATATTAAGAAACAAAACTAAATATTTAATACTAGATCATACAACTAACAAGTAACTAATTCAGGATTTGAAGTCAAAGTTGGCACAAAACCTATTTTTTTTGTCTATGTCCAGTGAAAAGATATCTACATCTAATGAGTTAGGAGAGAAGTGTAGACCAAGGACAACTATTTAAGATCAATGATAATTTCAAGAGAATGCCTGAAGCCATGGTCAAGAAAAAGATCACTCAGGAAAATAACTAGCATGAGATAGAACTTAAAATTTAAATGTCCCAAAACCTCTCAAACTCAATAAATCTAAAAAGAAGCTCAAGCATCTTCTTTCAAAAAATTACCATATTTCATTAACTCTAAGCCACATATTTTATAAATTTTAACACTTCTGAAATTGGGATGTAGATATCAAAGTGTGTCATGATTTAACTGGAAGTACTGTTTCCTTTTTTAGTGGTACATAAAATAATGGCAACTCATTATTTCTGGCTTCTTAGATTTAATAAAATATGGTAACCTTCTCCTAAAATTAATCCCCAAATTAAATCCCTCAGATCACCAAGATCTAATTTCTTTTCCATCTTTCCTGCTACCGCTCTGGCTTAAACTTGTATCAATATGTACAGATTAAATACCCTCTTCACTGGTCTCCCTGAATCCATTTGTTCCCTATTACAAATCATCAAGTACAACACCATGGATTAATCTTTCAAAACCACCACTGGGGGCTAGCTTGCAGCTCAGCAGGTTAAGCCACCATTTGCAGCACCAGCATCTCATACTGGTACCAGTTCAAGTCCCATTGCTCCACTTCCAAACCAGCTCCCTGCTATTACTCCTGGGAAAACAGCGGAAGATGACTCAAGTGCTTGGACCCCTGTGCCCACATGGGAGACCTGGAGGAACCTCCTGGCTTTGGCCTGTCCCAGCCCTAGCCCAACCCTGGCCGTTGCTGCCATTTAGAGAGTGAACCAGTGGATTGTAGGTCTCTCTCTCTTTTTCTCTCTGACTTTCAAATAAGTAAATGAATGAATCTTTAAAAAAAAAAAAAAAAGAAACACATTGGCACGCCATCTGCCCTATCTTAAATTTGCTTTTCATTGCATGTAAAGGAGATTCCAGTCTAGTTTCAAAGACTTCCAAGACTCAGACTGAACTAACATTCACAACACTGACCTTCCTTTCTTATTAGTCAACATAACCCTTCTTACTCTAATCAAGCTCTTCTGTTCACCATCCCAATAGCTTTAACCTCTATTAACCTCACCAGTCTTCGCATTTGAACTTCACCCAGTCCTTACGGCATTCACATAAAACTCCAGCTTCAAAACTCCCATGAAATCACCCTCAGTCACTCCTAGCCACTCCCTCTTCTGAAGTCCCACAGCTTGTCCCTCTTGAGCATTGTTACATTTAACTTTTCATGGGAATTTAAAGGATCAAAGGCAAAGATTCTGTTTTATGCTTCAGCAGCATAGTTTAATGGCTTATTATACAGACTCTAGAGTCAAATTACTTGCTTGACTCCCAGCACCCCACCTTTCTGTGTGACCACGGGCAAGTTACTTAATCTCTCTGTGCCTCAGATTTTTATGTGTAAAATGGAGTTGTGAGAATTAAATGATCATGTGGAACCTGCTTGATACATAGTAAAGCACTCTTTAATTGTTAATTGCTATTATTTTCATTAGTGAGAAAACTCAGCACATAAGTGTCAGAAATGCTACATAACTGCTAGTACCATATTTGTGGCACTTAAAATAATCAGACACACAGCGGGTGCTTGGTACTCCTCTGCTGGAGTGAGAGAAGAAAGGGTCTTTTCAGGAGAAACAGCTTTTCAGGAAAGTGTCTACTTCCGACATTTAGGAGGGCAGCTGGAGAAGCTGACCAGGAGTGACAACAAATACTTCGTTTGGGGTCTCTAAAGGCTAATCAACCTGAGGAGAATTAACTGGAAAATGACAGGGAAAGTCATTCCTGCAGAGCCATACACTCATAGATACATACATAACCCACAAATACCCACACTACAGTTTCACAGCTAGAATTCTGTACTCAAGAAAGTAGCTGGCATAAGATACAAAGAAAGCCTCTTGGTGAGTTTGTGGTAAACAGGTACTTACTGAGCATGCCTCTGTAATTGAGGTCCATATCCCGGCTCTCTGATCGGACTTTAATAGCATCCAGAATGGCGTCAGGAGACAACAGTCCTGAAGGCCTCACCACATTCAGGAGTTCAGTGAGGCTCATCAGAGGTAAACGCACAGCCTGCATGATTTCAGCATGATCCTCCTTTGAGTTGTGCTTACACCAGTTTAACAAGGCTAAAAAAATATCTTTTTCAGGAGCTGCAAATGAATCTCTCAATACGATGTTTAAAAGTGCTGTCTGAAAAGGATAAAAAGAAAACAATCTAGTTATTATGGAGCCCAACCACACACATGACCAATCAGGAAAACCTTACAGAACTGCAAGATCACTTCTGTTTAGACATTTAAGGAACCATCAATCCACACAGATTCTTCGGGAGAATACACATTTCTATTTCTGGTATTTACAATTCAAGGTCTTTTGTTGCACAGCATTACTGCATTACCCCATTTGTTCGTCTCAGATCTCCAGCACAACTGGTACAATCCTCAAAGATTCCTGTTTTTAAAAATTAAGTAGGACAGGGGTGGGTGTTGTGCAACAGATTAAGCAGCAGCTTGCAACCAATGCCAGCCCATACTGGAGTATCAAGTCCTCGCTATTCTGCTTCCTACCCAGCCTCCTGCTAATGCACCTGGCAAAGCAGCAGAAGATGCTCAAGTACTTGGGCTCCTGCCACCTGTGTATAAGACCAGGATGGAACTCCTGGCTCCAGGCTGGCACAGATATAGCTGTTGGAGCCATTTGGGGGTGTGAAGCAGCCAATGGAAGATCAACCACCCCACTCGCTGTTTCTACTGTCCTACCTTTCAAATGAAAATAAATAATTTTTTTAAAAAAAGAAGTAGGATAATAAAAATATGTTTCCATTCAAACAAAGACATGTAGTTTTTCACTAGTTTTTTTCTCATTAGAAATATCCATGTCCTAGGAGGAACACAGAGAAAAGGAAAGACAACCACAATCTAGAAAAAAATTTTAGAATAGCTTTACTCTAACTAGAGTGAAGAATTTTGAGCCAACAAAAGAAGGCAGTGGCTTAAATATGTCCAATGATGCACAAGATCTCCTTTATGAATTTTCCTCTTGCTATAAGGAATTATTAGTTGCACTCTTTGCTAGAGAAAAAAGAAAAAGAAGTATGCAAAATCACAAAGGACCCTATTTGTCTGTCATCATGTTGAAAACAACCACTTAGCAGCGCTCTTTTGGTACCAGAAGAACCTTAAGAGAAAACAAAACCAATCAGCATCTGTCTTATATGATCTAGAGTTCTAGCAGCCACAAATGACTAGACTAGACTATGTCTCCCATACAAATGATCTTTACTGTTGTATTCTTAGTCTATTCCATACTTCTGTACAGGTATAAATAAATCAGTGCATGCCTATAAACTGCTGTAGACAATGACACACCTTAGAAAGAGAGAGGAAGCCTTCACTTGAGAGCACCTCCTGGGCATTTCTGTCCATAAACATGCAGCACATACAAGTTAACTTGGGAAGTGAGTAGAGACTGGCAACATCAAAAGTCATACAGACATTCTGAATGTTAAGTATGGTACAGAGATACTCAGAGGTAGAATCCTCCAGCTCTGGAAATCCATATTTATGAGCCAGGCTCAGAAAGTCCAGCAGCACCTCCTCCTTCTCATCTGTCAGCGTCGCCCGCCCTGTGTAGATGTATTTGAGCAGCATTGTGAACGCTTCCGCAGTGGTGTCTTGGAGAGGGATTTCTGCTTCAGGCTGAGATTCTCTCATTCCACCATACAGCAATGCTCTGCACATGAAAGACGAGACACATGAGGCAGATCTCAAGTCAGATCTGCTATAAAATACACAAAATAATGGTTATCAACAGTATACAAACATAAATGTATTCACTGACACAAAGATCCAGGTGAAGAAAGGCAACTGTCATTTTATTCCCCAAGAAAAAAGAAGGACTTTAGAGCTCCTCTGAATTAATGTACTACTGATTGAACTACTGAGATACCCTAAGAGCTCAAGCTATGTAATAGACATTAAACAGAAAGATTTTAGAAAAAGCAATCTTTTGAGAGAAACAAAACAATTTATAAAAAGAAATTTTGTTGAAGGTCAATAAGGCAGTTTGAAAAGTCAAACTCACAGGAAAAGATGTAATGAGAAAAAACAAACAAACAAAAAATACCAGTCATATAGCATTCTCTACTGTTAGAATCACAGAAATTAAGAAAGCAGTTCCTGGCTGGCACCACGACTCACTAGGCTAATCCTCCGCCTAGCGGCGCCGGCACCCCAAGTTCTAGTCCCGGTCAGGGCGCCGGATTCTGTCCCGGTTGCCCCTCTTCCAGGCCAGCTCTCTGCTGTGGCCCGGGAGTGCAGTGGAGGATGGCCCAAGTCCTTGGGCCCTGCACCCCATGGGAGACCAGGAGAAGCACCTGGCTCCTGCCTTTGAATCAGCGTGGTGCACCGGCAGCAGTGCGCCGGCCGGGGAGGCCATTGGAGGGTGAACCAACGGCAAAGGAAGACCTTTCTCTCTGTCTCTCTCTCTCACTGTCCACTCTGCCTGTCAAAAAAAAAAAAAAAAAAAAAAAAAAAAAAGAAAGAAAGAAGGAAAGAAACAAACAAACCAGTTCCCATCCCCAGCTGCAATAGTAATGGGGAAACAGTTTCACGTAGGCACTGCTCAGAGAGAATATATAAATGGGCCTGCACTGGACATTTAGTAATATCTATTCAAGTCTATAGTGTACATACCCTTCAACTCAGCAATTTCTCTTTTAAGACTCAATTCTAGGGAAATAATACAGTAAAGATAAATGTAGGCTAAAACCCCGGATAAAATCTAAATGGCCATCAATAGGAATATGGTTGAAAAAACTGTGACATACACATTCTACACAGCCGTTATAAAGACGAAGGGAGATCTGTCTTGGATCTTTCCCAGCATAAGCAGGTGAGCAAGGAAGGTTCAGTGTTTACTGTAAAAGTTTCTTCCTGGGCAGTTAGCTTACTCTTCTCTGGCAGTCCAGAGGTTTGTGACACCAGCACTCAGGCCTCTCCTCAATGCTGACAGTTAACTCCCTTTGCACATGGAAAAATGTCACAATGAGAATCTGCCTAGGACAGCTTTGGTAAAGACTGAGCTTAGCCTAGTGAGCCATCACACATCACAAAGGTTCAATATTCACACACAGACACCATGGATAAAGTCAGTAAGTGAGGGAGATATGTTCCATTCACTCAATTGGTCTTCAAATTTCTAAACAAATATAGAGACCACCTTAAAGATAACCACATACAGTTTTATTTTTTTAAGAGGGCAAGGTATATGGTATTAACAAATATTAAATATAAGGCTGGAAAGTTCTGATTAATAAAGAATGGATGCTCTAAAAACCATTTTAGTAGTAAAGACTAGACCAAAATCAAGAAAAGGGAGGGGCCAGCACAAAGGATTAAGCCACTTCCTGCAAAGTGTGGCATCCCATGAGTACCAGTTTGAGTTCTGGTTTGAGTCCTGGTTTCCCACTTCCAATCTAGCTTCCTGCTAATTTGCCTGGGAAAGCAGCAAAAGATGGCCCAAAGGACTCGGGCCCCTGCCACCCACTTGGGAAACCCAGATAAAGCTCCCATCTCCTGGCTTCGGCCTGGCGCAGCTCAGTTGTTGCAGCTACATGGTGTGTGAACCAGTGGATGGAAAGTCTATCTCTCTCTCTCTCTCTCTCTCTCTCTCTCTTTTCTACCTTTCTCTCTCTCTCTCTCTCTGTAACTCTGGCTTTCACATAAATAACAATTTTTTTAAAAAAAGCAGTTTAAAACAGAGGTTGGTAATAAAACAGAGAATGTTGGCTAGAACTCTTTAGCAGACTCCTTTCTTCAAAGCACCTGCTTTCACCTATAGGTTTTTCATCTGTACAAAATGAGAAGCCCTGAAATGTCCCTAAGGGATTACAGGAGTTCTAGCTAATGAGAATATGTTTCTAAGACACATTTATGATGCTGGGTGCTGTTGTTTTTCTACCTTGGTTAATTCTTACTGTAAAATTCAGATTGAAGTTTTCGCAGAAGGTATCTGAGATTTTCTCTAAGCTACTGGCATCTCCATTTTTAGACAGCATTAAGTTTCCTGGGCAACTCTATAATTTTATGGACTATTTATCCTTGTTTAAAAAAAAGATCCATTATCAAGATAAATTATAACTCAGATAATAATTTAGTGATGATTCCTTTTTAAATACTTGGTAATATAATTAAAAGTTGAGCTTAATATTTATAACCTTGTAAATTAAAGATGTAACAATATCTGCATATAAGTGGAATTTTTATATCAAATACATACTGCATATAGTCTTAGTTCTAATATAACCATAAACTTAGTCTCAGCCAATATTGAAGTTTAATTTGCGCTTGTCAAACTGCACGTCTCCGAGAGATCTGTTGGATTATCTACAGGTCTTGTGCCTCAGTAGTCTGAAACCCAGTGGTGTACATGTTCATGTAGAGCAATCTGTCTACACAACAAGTCCATCTTCCAGTCAGTTTAAGCCCATCTTTCAGAATCAGTTTAAGCTCCAATAGCCACCAAATGGGAGGAAAAGGTGAGAGCCACAAAGGCTCAGCCTGAAAAATAGTCTTGAGACCTGGAAAATGGCTGATTGGGCACTGTCTGGCCTGAGACGTTTTCTTAACCCCTTCATTTTTTTTTTTAAGATTTATTTATTTATTTGAAAGGCAGAGAGAGAGAGAGAGAGACCTTCCATCCATGGGTTCGTTCCCCAAATGGCCACAACAAGTAGGGGTGGGCCAGGCTGAAGCCAGGAGCCAGGCACTTCTTCCAGCTCTCCTATGTGGGTGCAGCTGCCCAAGCACTTGGGCCATTTTCCTCTGCTAATCTCAGGTATTAACGGCAAGCTGGATCAGAAGCAGAACAGCCAGGATTCAAACCAGCACCCATATGGGATGCTGGCGCTGCAGGTGGAGACTTAACTTTCTATGCTACCAGTACCAACCCTAACCACTTAATTCTATGATGGCTCATAAAGGAGCCATTCTCAAAAATTTAACACATAGTCAGCAAAGATAAAGTTCTTAGAGATGTTAGACTGAAGAATTGCTAGAATTTGTCATTATGCTTAGTTATATCCTTTTCAAAGTAGAATATTTTCTACCAGTAACATGAATCTTCAAAGAAGTATTATACACTTACCGAAAATATTGGCACCTGGCTGCTAAAATCACCCTGTGGGCAGGAAAACGCTTTTTTTCCACAACAAATGTGACGTCGCCATATTCTTCCCCAATCAACAAGGCACCAATATGTTCAGACAAAATGTGCACATGATCAATTTCCCCGACTGCAGTGAAGGGGCGAAGAGGGTGGCTGTTACTCATCTTGTGGAATAGACGATAGTCGCTGATCTATTATATGAAGAAGGAATAAGTGTTAATGGGCGGGGAAAGCACATTTAGAAAACCTCATGCCAAAAACACAGCTAAGTAAGTGCTTTTAAAAAAAATCTCAAGAAGTTCATTATTAACTCATGAAGTATCATTATTAACCTGTTTATTCTGAGAAGCAATTCATCCTGCTTGCATTCCCTCCCTTATCAAACCAAGAAGAGAAAAATGCCAGAGTCTTCGAACACCAGTACCACCTGGAGTGATCACAATCTAGAAGGCTGAGCCCAGATACAGGTCACATACCCCTTACAGTACCTCAAGAAAAGGAAAATAAACCACCAGAATAACTCTCCTGTTAGCATACATTTATTTAGTATGGTTAGGAAAAATTATTCAGGTGTAGACCTAGGCCAAAATTACAAAAAGAAAAACAATTTATGTCATAAGGAATTTTAGTCTGAAACCACCTTAAATATTTTATAAACAATTACAATCTTTTGGAGTCACAAAACTAACCTAGCATTTGTTAATCAAAATTTACAGTAGCATCCTAACCCCTTCCCAAAACAAGAATAATTCTAACATTTTTCTCAAGACTGTATCTCCCATTCCAAACTTACAGTTCTGGTGATCGAGCTGCCAGTATTTACCAGAACATTTATCTCAGTTCCAGGCAATGCTGTGCTTTAACACGCAATGCCTCCCTACACAAGTAAGGTAAATGAATGAACATAGGTAAGCTCCAATAAAACTATTCAGAGAAGAGCCAGATTTGGCCTGCGGACCAGTCTGCCAACCCCTGAACATGTGACCAAGAACTAACTGTACTCTAGACAAAGAATGGTTCAGATGGTTTTTTGCTTGTTTTCACTAGGTTACCCAGTTGATGCTCAAAACAACATGGTCATTTCCTATGATGGCCTTGAAATTCTGAAAACTACTAGAACTTGACTTCAAAATCCAATTCCTTTCAACAGGAACACTCATATCACTATCCTCTATTTCAATGACAGTACAGGATTCTAACTAAAACAGGTTCATTCCCAGGGAGAAAAGATGAAATGCATTTTCTCTGCAAATATGTTCTCTAATAATCTGTTAATATTTTATCTAGGTCATGGCTAAGACTTTAATCGTTGACTAAATGACTCTTGACGAATAATGACTGAATTTTGGTTAATCAGCTTAGGAGGGAAATTTATAGTTCTTAAACTGACACATAAACAGTAATACTTCATATGTAAACATCTCAATAGATTCTCAAGATCTTTGCTTCTCAATATTTATAATTTCATTTTGCTGAATTTACATTTTAATTATGTTTCACTAAGAGGAAACATAAAGAGAATATTGCTGGGTACAGAAAATAGCCTCTTAATATAGAATAAACAGTTTTATTGGTATATAGAAATACTTTTAGACCAGTGGTTCTCAATGATATTGTCACACATTGGAATCATGAGGAGCTTTAAAAAGGGAGAAAAAAGAAATGACACTTCAGTTCCACTCATCAGAAATTTTTATTTAAATAGATCTGGAATGGGACACAGGCTCTGGAATCAACTCTCCAAAGTAATTCTAATGAGCAGCCTGGAAAAGAGCCACTGAATTAGACTTCTGTAAGTTTACATCCCATATTAGGTAGCTGAAAAGTATACAAATGAAATATCCCCCTGAAAAAACTCATTTAGTATATGATTCTATTTTGAAAATACAGGCAGATGGTGCTAACAAAGGTGCAAACAATGCTAACAAAGTTAGCCATGCCACAGCTTATTCACAGCTTTTCACCAATGGGCTAGCGACAGTTTGGGGCTAACCCATTTGACTAACAAATGGCACGTTTTAGAAACTACACATTGGAGACCAAGATGGCAGAATAGGGAGGGAGCTTACTGCTCTAATCTAGGGAAGATAGTTCAAAAAGAAAAAGTGGGGAGAGTTCAATTTCAGGGAAGAGTTAGGGAGAAAACAGCAAAGGAAACTCCACATAAATCAGAGGGACTGTGGATCTATGTGGAGGGTGTGGACATAAAATACTGGAAAAAAATAAGTAAAAGGATGTGCAACAAAGCGGATCAATGCTAAGGATAGATGAGTATTAGGAAAAATAATTAAGTCCTCAAATTAAAAGGCCAAAGGAGAAAAGAATCATAATTAGTTCAATAAAAGTCAAAATACCTTTCTAACATCTATTACTGGCCGGCGCCGCGGCTCACTAGGCTAATCCTCCACCTTGCGGCGCCGGCACAACAGGTTCTAGTCCTGGTCGGGGCGCCGGATTCTGTCCCGGTTGCCCCCCTTCCAGGCCAGCTCTCTGCTGTGGCCAGGGAGTGCAGTGGAGGATGGCCCAAGTGCTTGGGCCCTGCACCCCATGGGAGACCAGGATAAGTACCTGGCTCCTGCCATCGGATCAGCGCGGTGCGCCGGCCGCGGCGGCCATTGGAGGGAGAACTAACGGCAAAAGGAAGACCTTTCTCTCTCTCTCTCTCTCTCACTGTCCACTCTGCCTGTCAAAATACATAAATAAATATATATATATAAAAATCATTACCAAGTTTATTTTTTAAAAAGTTTTAACGGAATAGGATTAAAAGGATACTTCTTAACTTGATACAGACCAACAGATGAAAGCACGTAGATACCAATAAAATACTGTAAATGTTCAGAAATGAAACAGGCATGTTTGCTCTTAGCACTATTAACATGTTTATGAACAAAGACAATGTGGGGCAGGTGTTTTGTATGGTGGCTAAGACACCACTTGGGAGGGGCTGGTGCTGTGGCATAGCAGGTTAAGCCTCTGCCTGTGATGCAGGCATCCCATGTGGGTGCCAGTTCCTGTCCTAGCTGTTCCACTTGGGATCCAGCTCCCTGCCTGGGAAAGCAGTAGAAGATGGACCAAGTGCTTGGGCCCCTACACCCACATGGGAGACCCAGAAGAAGCTCCTGGCTCCTGGCTTTGGATTGGCCAGCTCTGGCCATTAAGACCACTTAGGGAGTGAACCAGAAGATAAAAGATCTCTCTCTGCAGCCATTTGGGGAATGAACCAAAGGATGGAAGATGTGTGTGTGTGTGTGTGTGTGTGTGTGTGTGTGTGTGTGTGAATCTCTCTCTCTCTCTCTAACTCTGCCTTTCAAATAATTTTTAAAAATAAATAAATATTTAACAACAACAACGGACACCACTTGGGACACTTGCAGCCCATATCAGAGTGCCAGGGTTTGAGTTCTGGCTCTGATTCTGATTCTAGCCGCCGGCTAATAATGGCTCAAGTAGTTGGATCCCTGCCACCCACGTAGGAGAATCAGACAGTTACAGGCTTTGGCCCAGCCTAGCATTTGGGAAGTGAACCAGTAGATGGGAGATCTCTGCCTGTCTCTCTGCCTTTCAAAAAAAATGGAAATTTTAAAAAGAAAACAAAAAGTAAATGCATGAGGAAACAAATAGGCAAAATAATCACTATATATATAATGACTGCCCTTATGAAAAATCCATGAGAATAAATTGAAAAAAAGTTAGAGAAAATAAGGAGAGTCATTGAGCTAATTGTATAAAATAATTTTATGAAAATATATAGCATATTTCCATGTCAAAAACAGCCAGCTAGACCACATGAGGGAAAAGATTTATAATTTAGAACTACAAAACAGGACATGTAAAAGAAAAAATAAAACTCTATTAAAGGATTTAAGAAAAATAAATGAAGACATATATAAGTGGTATTCAAAAAGTTTAAGGAAATTCTACGTTCTGCATGGATTTTGAAAATTTTTTGAACCACAATAAATTTATCTTTTAATTCAGTTTTCCATGAACTTTTCTAAGTTTCCTTGTACACTCTTTGGAATCAGAAAGATGCAATATTGTAAAGATAGCAATCATCCCCAAATCACCATATAAAAATATATTTAATATTTATTGTACTTTATATTGTGAAAAAATTAGTAATAAAATCTTCAGAAAACAAAATCTAACAAAACATTCTTGAAAGGCATACACAGGTTAAACTGCTGGTTGTTAAAGACAGCATCCGGTATCAGAGCGCCAGTTTAAGTCCCAGGCTGCTTCACTTCCAATCCAGCTCCCTGCTAAAGCACCTGGGAAGGCAGCAAAGGCCCTCTGCCAACCATGTGGGAGACTGGATATATTTCTGGGTTCCTGGCTTTGACCCAGCCCAGACCTGGCTGTTGTACCCATTGGAGAGTGAACCAGTGGATAGATCTTTCTCTCTCCTTCTCTGTTACTCTACAATTCAGGTAAATAAACCTTTTTTTTTTTTTAAAGCAAACAACAAAAAATGTCAGAGAGACAGCTCACTAGAAAATAACTAGTTTAGAAACAAACTAAAGGATACATAGGAATTCATCATACAATGTAGATTTTCAATTCAATGGAAGAAAACATGTTTTTTTTTTTTTCAATAAAATATATAGACCAACTAACTTGAAAATAGTAAACTGGACATTGACACAAGAATACAAAATTAGGGGCTGGCACTGAGGGGTAGCAGGTAAAGCTGCCGCCTGCAGTGCCAGCATCTCACATGGGTGCTAATTGGAGTCCCAGCTGTTCCACTTCTGTTCCACTTCTGCTATGGCCTGGGAAAGCAGCAGCAAATGGCCAAATCCTTGGGCCCCTGCAGCCACATGGGACACCCAGAAGAAGCTCCTGGGTTCGTTCAGATCGGCTCAGCTCTGGCCGTTGTGGCCATCTGGGGAGTGAACCAGTGGACAGAAGGTCTGCCTGTCTCTCTCTCTCTATGCCTCTGCCTCTCTGTAACGCTGCCTTTCAAATAAATAAATAAATCTTTTAAAAAATAGAAAATTAAATACATCTGGATGTCAGCTTCAGCAACTATTGTAATAGCAAAAATGTAGGGGAAAAAATCTAAATGCCCATTTAATGGTTACTGGTCAAACAATCAATGGTACATCTATACAACAACAACAACAACAATAGATACTTCAAACAATACTAAGGTTAAAAGAGATTAAAAAATATTAAAGTTAGATAC